TTACAATATATGCAATTTCACACACTATTTACACAGTAACACACTGTATTACACACTCAGTACTTCGGAAATGAGTAATAATCAACGAAGTAGCCCATGGTACACAGCGCGACTTCGCTCTCAGTGCACCAGGTACAGATAAATTTTCGCTTCTTGTTTCTTCATTCTGTGTGCTTGTAAATAACGCACTCACGTACACCCTTGGCTTTAGTACTTGTAGGTTGTATGTAGCCAAGCTTGTAAAGCATAAGGTAGTATTGAAAAGATTATAGGAAAAGATAAATTTGTAAGGTAGTCTTGAAAAGATCGCTTTGTATGGTCCCACACAGGAAGAGATTCAGCTTACTTCAAGAGTGTCAGTCAGAAAGAGATTCAGCTAGCCTCAAAGAGTGTCCGTAAGTTAGGAAGAGATTCAGGTATTCTTTAAAATATCTATGGAAAATACCACCATGGCAGCAACTAACACTGTTCATCTATGCTATTTGTATCAGATGCATCATTACTGAACGCAGAAAACAATTCATCATGTATCATCTAAATAAATTGTAGATAGCATAGGATTGCAAGGGTGACACTCAGAGCTACAACTGGATACGCTCGCTGTATCGTCCTCATAGGTGCTGTATCACTTGCATCCAACGTTTGTGTTAGGTCCTTATTGCGCCTAGCTTCACCAATATTTTGACCCTTATGTTCTTCAAACAATAAGGTTTGAATTCCACTGACAGAGCGTTATCTTTCAACACCACGTCGGACAGGTGTTTGGAAGCCAGAGGCGCGTGCGCCACCCATGGTTGCTCATTCAGTACTAACCCAGCCAGCAGCCCTAGGGCATTCTGGGAATTTTTTCCAAGATGGCGGCCTCTCACCAGAGGTCCTAAGAGTCCATTTCGTACACAACCAACCTCGTACAAATTTAGAATTGGTACCGAAAAATCAAAGAGGTTTCTCAGTTGGCGCAGTTTCCCGCCGACCGAGACTACTCGGTTGGCGCAGTTAAGTGGTTAACCCTTAGACCGCGCAATACATACGTATATGATTTGACATTAAATAATTTAACATAAGTTTTTAAAACTTGCACAAACACTTTCCAGTTTTTTTTGCATAATCAACTAGGCAAATGCTCCAACTTTGTTTAAATGATCACAACGTAACTTGAAAAACAAGAGAATCAAAGTTAATTTTAAAATTGAATATTGGAAACTTCAGATTTTCAATTCAGAATAAAAAAATATGAACTATCACCAATTGTTCATTTAATGTTATTATTCTCTCAGAATAGCATATGATCTTCATTTTCATAAAATTAGAATATAGGTTTTCAGTACAGTTTACTGTAAAAACAATCATCAACAGGGCTTTTGAAATATGCAGCAAATTTAGACCAAAACAAATTATAACTCCAAATGTATAAAGTTCATGAAAAATCCATTCTGAAGGGATTGTAGAAGAGACAGCTGAGCACACAATATGTCAAAATAGTGAGAATTGGTCAAGAACTGGAATTTTAGAAGCCACTCAAAGTTGAAACTCTAGTTTCAGAGATAATTGAAGTTGAAGTTATCAACAATGAATGAATAAAGGGAGTTTTAATTCGTTAATTTAATTGTGTGTTTTAATAAACATTGTTTGGCATTCGTACTCGAATATGTGAAAGTTGTAGATCAATATGTGTTGAAATGAAGTCAAGAAAAAATAACCCCAAAAAAACACAAAATACTGTATAGGGATAATTAAAATAATTACTGTATAATGATTTAGGGGATATATTTAGGGTATACTTTATATAAGTGAAAAAGCCCTAACATGGTCCCTAATCATCAAAACAACCTAGAGAGACAAAAAAAAAATAGTTTGAAATCAGAGAAAAAAATCAGCCCCAAAAAATTTAAAGTTCCAAGTTTTGAGAGTTGTGACTGATTTATTTGTTGTCCAATTTCCTTCTATCTTCACATAGTTAGGGACGGGTATGTACTCTCCAGGATGTAAAGGTTACAACAAAATCAGATAATAAACAAAGGAGAAAAAACTAAAATCTTAAAAAAAAAAAATTCCCCTAAAAAAATATTTTTGGAACATTGATGAAAGTAACATTTATTAACATTGGACAATGTATTTATATGATATATAACAAAATAGAGCATGTTAACATAGTTATTCATTATTATTGGTGTTATTTTGTATTACTCAGCAATGCTATAAAGGCACCAGCTGCATATCCACTTTGTGAACACTTCTTATTACTATTCTTCTTCTTTGAGCATCGGACAGGTGCTTGCATCTCTTTATTATTGTATTATCCATCACTTCCAGTTAACAGCAGCTCTTCTCCTTATCAACAAAATGTTCTTATTTTTAAACAATTCTTCTAAAATCAATTTCTGAAAATATTTTGATGAAAGTTTCATGATGCTGAAGCCAATAAGTTGGAGATTTGTTTAAGGTTTTTAAGTTATTTTTCACATACAGTGGTACCTTGCATAACGATCGCCCCACAAGGCGAATATTTTGGGTAACGACTGGCCCGATCGGCGAGAAATCGTCCCATATGACGAACGCTCGTTTGTGTAACGTCAACACCACATGGTGGGGTCACGCCGCCACTGTCGACAGTGTTGTATTGGTGTCTCACACGACCAGTATCCGTCTGTATCGCTCCGCACACAATTCTGATATTCGTGTTTTTTTTTTTGTGGTTTTGTGACTACAATTCTGAACGCACGATGTCGTCCAAGAAGCAGCCTGCGAAAGCAGGAGTTTGCAAGGGGAAGAAAGAGGTAATCACTGTGGAAGTGAAGAAAGAGATCATAGCAAAGCACGAGCGTGGTATTCGTGTGGTTGATCTTGCCAGGGAGTATGGCAGGGCTCCCTCAACAATATCCACCATGCTGAAGGGCAAGGATAAATATAAGATGCTTGACGTGGCCAAAGGAGTTAGCAAGCTCACCAGCAAACGTCCAAAACTCCTGGAAGATGTGGAACGGCTACTGCTGGTGTGGATGAATGAACGACAATTGCATAGCGATTGTCTCTGAAGCTATCGTTTGCGCTAAGGCTAGGATGCTGTATGTGGACCTTGTCAAGAAGATACCAGGTGCGTCGTCTGAAGATGAGGAGGTATTTAGGGCAAGCCGTGGCTGGTTTGAGAACTTTAAGAAAAGGAGTGGTATACACAGTGTTGTGCGACATGGGGAGGCTGCCAGCTCTGATAAAGGTGCTGCTGAGGCTTTTGTGCCAGAGTTCCAGAAATTTGTTGATCAGGAGCAGTTTCTGCCACAACAAGTTTTCAATTGTGACGAGACCGGCCTTTTTTTGGAAAAAACTGACGAAGAGGACCTACATCACGCAAGAGGAACATTCATTGCCTGGCCACAAACCGATGAAGGATCGCCTTACTCTCGTGCTCTGCGCCAATGCAAGTGGCGATTGTAAGGTCAAGCCGCTGCTCGTCTATCACTCAGAAAATCCACGTGTGTTCAAGGCGTTTAAGGTTCACAAGATACGGCTGAATGTGATGTGGAGGTCGAACAAGAGGTCCTGGGTCACGCGGATCTTCTTTAGTGAGTGAGTAAATGACGTTTTCGGCCCCACAGTGAGAAATTATCTCGTCGACAAGCAGTTACCACTCAAGGCCTTGCTTGTGCTCGATAATGCACCTGCGCATCCTCGCCAACTGCAAGATGATCTGTTCCCTGAAAATCAGTTTATCACCATCAAGTTTCTTCCTCCAAACACCACGCCACTCCTCCAACCCATGGATCAGCAGGTCATTGCTAACTTTAAGAAGCTCTATATGAAGGCCTTGTTGGAGAGATGTGTTCATGTGATTGACACCACAGAGCTGACCCTCAGACAATTCTGGAAGGAGCAGTTCAATATCATGGGGGCCTTGCGTTTGATAGATAAGGCCTGGGAAGGGGTGTCACGGAGAACCCTACACTCTGCATGGCGAAACCTGTGGCCTGAGGGTGTCCCTGAGCGAGACTTCAAAGGTTTCGGTCCTGCACCTGCATCCGCACCTGTGGATGACCCGGAGGCTCTTTTAGTGGATGATATTGTCGCTCTTGGACACACACTGGGTCTGGAGGTGGATGCCGCTGATGTGCAGGAGTTGGTGGAGGAGCACAGTGATGAACTGACCACCGAGGAACTCCTGGAACTGCAGAAAGAGCTGGTGCAACAGGAGGTACAGGAGCTCTCATCGGGGGAGGAGGAGGTCTGCGAGGATGCTATCCCATCTAGTGAGATCAGGGATGTGCTGGGCATGTTCGAAAAGGTGACAGCATTTGCGGAAAAGCATCACCCTGATAAGGCGGTGACAACACGGTGCGTGAACCTGTTTAATGACAATGTGCTGTCTCGATTTAGGGATATCCTCAAACGAAGACAACAGCAAGTGACACGCGATATGGTCAGTGGACAGGGTGGGAAGAGACGTGCTAGTGATATTGAACCACAACCCGGTCCTAGTGGGGTTAAATTCCCAAAGAGAGCGAGCCCGCCTGACCCAGAGGTGGTGTCACCCTCCTCCCCATAAGCCCTCTCCTCCCTCCCTCCTGATCGGCTCCCTCAAGCCAGCAACGACTCTTCATAAGGTTAAGTGAATATACACATGGAAACAGTCAAACAAACATTTATTTAACATGTACAGTATAATATTACCAGTGTATAATGTCATATTGTTGTTTTAGGGGGTGGAACGGATTATTTGTATTTACATTGTTTTGGGTGGGGAAAATTGTTTTGCATGACGCCGGTTTCACAAGACGACGGTGGCGTTGGAACGGATTAAATTCGTTATGCGAGGTACCACTGTAATTAGAATATTTTTCGCTACCAGGCCTTCAATATGCGCGGTAATATGTGCGGTCTAAGGGTTAAGGAAGCCTCCGCGTCTCGCCCAGAAAATGGCATTTCATTACATTCAACCCCGATTTTATGTCAACACTAAAAATTTTCATCGAAAGAAATGGTAATATGCAATATTTTCCTTTTTTCAGGCCTCAATGTTTTATCCTCTTTATGCTCTGGCATGTCAGTTGAGTCCAGAGCAGAGAAGCTCGGGTATAGAGATCCTTGAAGCAGACAACTTCCGAATGAATTGTTTTCAGACTCTCACAGGTACGTTCCCTTGTGGGGCTTTCACTGCAAAATTTCCAATCTGACTATAGTTACTAATTTTTTATTGTGAGCCAGTGTATTATGCATTCTAATTCTTATTTTTAAAATATGAGTGCATTTCAATGTTATATATGGTAAAATATTAATTTTGAATAATCAAGGATATTGAGGCTAGGTATTGTTTTGAAAATACAGTATGCTCTATTGCTTTATGCCATTGTTGCATGCAGAGCTACTGTAGATTAAATAGAATAGTTATTGAATGGAGTAAGTGGTCAATAAGAAGTTGCATTATGCAGTATAACGACCTTTACTTCTGTCTGGTAAAGTAACAATACTGAATCACACACAGAGATCACACTAACGTGATGCATCAAATGAAGAAATCCACAAGGGCCGTTACATCATCACACACAGAGATCACACTAACGTGATGCATCAAATGAAATGCATCGGCCCTTGTGGATTTGTTCATTTGATGCATTACGTTAGTGTGATCTCTGTGTGTGATGATGCAAGGACGAAGAGGGAGAACGGCCTATTGACATAGCTCGGGTGCAGGAGGGGGGGGGGGGGTTGTGTAAAAGCCTGGTTTGTGCCTCGGAGAGGCTACGGGATCCAGTAAGTTCAGTATAACTTCGGTTTCAACCCTTTTACCCTGTCGTAGCTCAGTCGATTAAGGCAGTGTCTGGGATGCTCCCGGACGCAGGTTCGAATCCTCGTCACGGCCCTTGTGGATTTGTTCATTTAACAATACTGAAATGTGATGAACTGTCAATTCCACTCTGACCAGGTGACCAGTTCTTGAGAGAAACTGAATGCAGGAGAGCTGCCGGGTTTGTTATTTAGCGCGTTGTCATATCTGCTCTACTTTAATTAAATTAATATTGCCGTTATATTAAATTGACTTTGTTTACATCAAGCTCCAGACTGCAAATAAAGCAGCTACAGTACAGTAGCGAATGTGAAGTTAGGAAGGGGGGGGGTGGTAGCATATCTTGTGTATATTGTGGTTGTTGAACTGTAATTGACACACACGCACATGAGGACTATATAAAGAACATTGTGCCAGGAGTATATGCCACTCTTCTTAACTTCTGAATTGCTTTTACATATATGGATGGCAAAATATTAATGAAATTATTTATAACATTCGTGAGACCAAATGTGGAATATGCAGTGGTTGTATGGTGCCTATATCTCAAGAAGCACATCAGCAAAATGGAAAAGGTGCAAAGACATGCTGCTAAATGGCTTCGGGAACTGGAAAATAAGAGCTATGAGGCAAGACTACAGATGTTAAATATGCCAAAGCTATTAGAAGGAAAAAAGGGGTGATGTGACACCTCTTTTCTGGGGTGAACCCCGTTGACTCCCTGAAGCTAACGGACTGATATCTGCTATAATAGTCCTGAGCATCAGTTAATTGGAGCTATTTGCCTACCGGGAACCACGAGCCAGAACCTGGTTTCCTCAGAGAGGCGCAGGGAGCAATGGCTTATGAACCCTCCACTTTGTGAGAGTATACAGTAGTCATGACTGCACATTCTTAGAGGCCTCCGACGATGCACATAAATTATGTTGTTCTTGTTTAAAGATGCTAATGATGCTGGGATATAAAAGGGTGACTGCTGAGATGTTGCAAAGCATTGACGTTTTTGTAGGAAAAAAGAAACGAAATGTCTGATATACAACAAATGTCAAAAAGGTTCGTTCGGTGTTCGGCAGGTAGGCTGCTCCATTATAACAATCTTTCTTTGTTTCAGATGTGTTCCATTTGTTTTGTATTTGTCATTTGCGTCTCAATAATGGAGAAGCCTACCTTACATACACTGAATAAACCATTATGACATTTTCCTTTCTTCAAATGTGTTCAATGTTTATTTTTCATTTGTCTTGTAGCAAAAGGTTCGTTCGGTGGTCGGCAGGTAGGCTGCTCCATGTTTCTTACATACAAAAAACGTAAATAATAAAAAAATGAAGAATTTTGAAAACCAGTACAAATGTCAAAAAGGTTCGTTCGGTGGTTTACAGGTCGGCTGCTCCATGTTTCTTAAAAAAAAAAAAAAAAATAAAAGAACTGTTGAAACAATTTGAAAAATGGACAAATGTCATAAAGGTTCGTTCAGTGTTTGTCGGGTAGGCTGCTCTATTATTGAGACGTAAGTGACAAATACAAAACAAATGGAACACATTTGAAACAAAGAAAGATTGTCATAATGGAGCAGCCTACCCAACAAACACTGAACGAACCTTTTGATATAACGAATATGAAAGACAAGGGCTGCTGGCTGGGTTAGTACTGCGTGAGCAACCATTTGTGGCACACGTGCCTCTGGCTCTCAAACACCTGTCCCACACGGTGTTGAAAGACTGTGCTCAGTCGGTGCAATTCAGACCCTATTGTTTGAAGAACATAAGGGTCATAACATTGGTGAAGCTAGGCGCAATAAGGGCTTAACACAACGGTCGGATGCCAGTGATACAGCACCTATGAGGATGATACAGCGAGCGTATCCAGGTGTAGCTCTGAGCCCCACCCTTGCCATCTCTAATGTATATAGATGATATATAGATGAATCGTTTTCTGCGTTCAGTGATGATGCATCTGATACAAGTAGCATAGATGAACAGTGTTAGCGGCTTCCATGGTGGTGGTGTTCATTGATATTTTCAAGAATACCTGAATCTCTTCCTGACTGATGGACACTCTTTGAGGCTAGCTGAATCTCTTCCTGACTGATGGACACTCTTTGAGGCTAGCTGAATCTCTTCCTGTGTGGGACCTTACAAAGCGATCTTTTCAAGACTACCTTACAAATTGAGCTTTTCCTATAATCGTTTCAATACTACTTTATGCTTTACAAGCTTGGCTACATACCACCTACAAGTACTAAAGCCAAGGGTGCACACGAGTGCGTTATTTGCAAGCACATAGAACGATGAAACAGGAAACGAAAATCTATCTGTAGCTGGTGCAAGGAGAGCAAAGTCGCGCTGTGTACCATGGACTACTTCGTTGACTATTACGCACCTCCAAAGTACTGAGTGTGTAATACAGTGTGTTACTGTGTAAATAGTATGTGAAACTGTACATATTGTAATTTTAGTGAATTTTTACCACGTAATATTGTGACAATAAACATTTATTGTTGACACATTACTGACACATGTATCACAGTTTCATGGAAAATTATGAAAATTCTACTGTATACATATTGTAAAGGTCACAAATATGCATCATATACGATAAAAGAAACAAATAAAACCGCATTGGAAATGCATAGAAAAAATATTTGAAAATATATTTGTGGCAACACGCGGTGCTTGAATGGCCTGCGCGACCGTGTCTGGGAGCTTCACACACGGGCGACCAGCCCCTGATGACATCACAGCGCACCTTGTCCACGCCCTCACATCCAAAGTAAGTGGAATTTGGTAATTATTTTTACATAGACATGTTCAGGGACGGTAATTTATCATTTTACAAAGAAAAATTATATTTTGGGGAACATTTGATGTCATGCACACTGGGGAAATTTCACAATAAACACAGTGCATCACACTGGTTACATGGGGGACACTCGTTTTGTATGACGTCCGTTTCACATGACGAACATGGAACGGATTAAATTCGTTATGCGAGGTACCACTGTATTAGACTTTTGGCATGAATCAGTGTGAATGGAGTTCTTAGGCCCACAAGCCAGAACCTAGTCCCCTCAAAGAGGCACGAGGAGCAATGGCCTATAGAAATGCTCATGTGATTTGGAGCATTCTATGTCTACCATCGACCGGGTCAGGCACCCAGAAAGGTAAGCATCCCAAAACAACCCCTATTCTGGTTGAAATGACTACTTAAAGTCAAACGAGTGGACAGAACTCCCCAAAGAAAAACAAGCAAATGAACATGACGTCACCACGTTACCACGCTGCCGTCTGCACAACTTCCCCCTCCCTGGGAGGGGGAAGGGGGAGCCCCAGACCTCTTGCTCTGGCTACCCACACCTTCAGTTCTCGGCTGATGTGTTTGAGGCTTGGTCGTGCGATGCCAGCTCCTGTTTCTTGTCTCGGTGCTGTGCCTTGTGTTTAGTGCTGTCTTCAGGGTAGTGTGTGAGCTGGGAGTAATCTTCACAGATACTTGGGCTGTATGCACTTAAGGTTCTCTTCCCTAAGTGCCCTGTAAGTACTGCCCTTGGGGCTTGAGGTTATCTTCCCCAAGTCACCTTGAGGTTATCTTGAGATGATTTTGGGGCATAGCGTCCCCGCAGCCCAGTCCTCGACCAGGCCTTCTTTCTGTTACACACCCCCAGGAAGCAGAACGTAGCAGCTGTCTAATTCCCAGGTACCTATTTACTGCTAGGTAACAGGGGCATCAGGGTGAAAGAAACGTTTTGCCCATTTGTCTCTGCCTCCACCGGGGATCGAACCCAGAACCTCAGGGCTAAAAATCCGAAGAGCTGTCCACTCAGCTGTCAGGTGCCCTGACCTTGGGCTCTACTTCTGTTGGTCTTTTGCTGGTTGTGTCACGGGTACTAGTTTTGCACAGCTAGTTATCACCTATTATAGCGGCCGGCTCTGTTCCGCCTCGTTACTTTGCCCTCTTGCAGGGTTTTTCTTTTGTTTTTGTTTTCCCTGCCTGATGGGGGTGGGGAGTCTACCTTTTGGTTCGTTGCCTCCTGTCTATGACTTATAGGTTTTATATATTTGTGTTTCTGGGTGGTACCCTCTGCTAGGCCCCCCCTTGAGTGGACACGTCCCGGGGGTTCAGCTTTTAGCAGTTTGTTTGGTAGACTTGGGCACCAGTTCGCAGTTCCCTGCCTTGGCCTACCCTTTGCGATACAGTCTAAGGGCCCTGGGAAACCCTGTGGGGGCGCAAGGGGTCTGATGGATGCGACCCCTGGGTTTCCCTACCACTTTGTGTGAGGTTGAGGGTTGCTCTGTCCCCTTGTCTCAGGGTGACTCACTGTTTTTGCCCCCTCGTCATGCTGCCTGTTGGG